TTTTTTTTCTATTTTATCTTTTTTCCACTTTTCTTCCTTTATCCCCTTTTGTCACTCTTCCTTCTCTGCAGTACTGCTTAGTATTGCTGGAAAACTCAGAACTGAAGGCAGTCTGATCCCCTAATAGATTAAGACCCAAAAACAGACTTTAGGAGGACTGGGTGTTTTTTTTCCCCTTTTAAACAGCAGAGGGATTTGAAGATCTGGACCTTTCCTGTTGAGTTATTGAAGCTGCAGTATTTGCTGTTGTCTTTCCAGTACCTATAACTACCTGGGAAGAAAGACAAGCCAGATGTTGGAGGCTTTCGAAAGAAAGGACTTCTCTTTAGCCCTGAACTATCAGGTAAACGTTTTCTTCCCTTCCCACAGCCTTTTTTCTTTTCCAATTGAGGATTCTTTTTCTTCTCTCTCACCAGCATTCCTACCATACCCGCCCTCATTAAAATTGCCCAGCCGCTTCTTTCTTTACCTTTCTTCTGTTTCTTTCTTTTCCTTGTTTAAAACCAAAGCTGTCCCCATTGTCTGTGTTCCCTACATGTCTAATCAGGACAGGCCCCATACGGATATGGCTCTTCTCTTCCTCCTAGAAAGGATCTTATTTTTACTCTATCTTCAAAGTACTTTCATGACTATAATATAATGGTCATAGATTTCTGGGAAAATGACCACATGCTGGCCCATTGAGGACATCACACCAGAGTTATCACAGAATATGAGGAAGCTATGAAGACGGTAACCTAAAATGGGGAAGGCTTCCTTCAAATTCAGGGCAGGTCAGTCTCGTTCACCCTGGAAATGTGCTGAGAACTAGAAACATCCACCAGGAAGGAAATAAGAGCCTAGTGGGTGATCCAAAAGTAGATAACAGGATTTGAGGCAGGAAGAGAAAACCAGCAGAAGCTGATACATTGCAGGGAAGATCCCAGAGGACATAGTGGCTGCTGTGAATGTTCCACGGAGGACAGTCTAGCCATCCAGGAAAGAAGAACCTCAGTGAAGGGTGGAACAGTCTCAACAGCTGCTTCTCTTTTATTTAGAGACGGTCTTGCTTTGTTGCCCAGGCTGGAGTGCAGTGGTATGATCATAGCTCACTGCAGCCTCGACCTCCTGGGCTCAAGCAGTCCTCCCACCTCAGCCTCTTGAGTAGCTGGGACTACAGGCATGTGCCACTACAACCAGCTAACATCTGGTTCTAATACATGGTTCTAAACTAAATGGAGGTATTTATCATCTAAAAGTAAATGGAATGAATTGGAAGAAAATAGGGTAGACATAAGAGCAACACTTTTGGGGTCTGAGAGGCATGGGGATCTTCAGGATAGTATATGTGGTTGAGAGAAGTATCCCAAGAAAATAAATGGGAATGGAAGGACAGAAGTAAGATTGGAGCAAGTGGCTGGTCCTAATGAAGCTTGGCTGTGGGATCTTTTTGAACAGCACAGGCTGCCATCAGTGTAATTGGAGATGACAGAGCAGAAGTACAAAGCACCCTGTGGGGGCTAGAGGGAGTGACCTGCAGCCCCAACCCAGAGAGAACATGAAGAAGCAGAATCCAGAAGTGATTAATTATTCCCTACCCTTAGGCCTCAAAGTTGAGCCATCATAAATCTATTTCCTCCTTAAAGTTTAAATACCTTATGTAACATTCACCTTTGTCCATCCTCAGACCAGATGAAGCTAAGAATAGGAACTGGGTAGGGATCTAGGAAGCTATGCCACATAAGCTAGACACTGACAAGATTTTGGTTTAAATAAGGGTAAGAAGAATGAATTGTGCAGACTGCCATCTCCTTGCATTGATGGTTTCCCCCACCCTGCCTAGTTTCCTAGAAAAGTTATCCCTGAAAATTCTAGCCTGTTCTGAACAGAACAGGGAAATCATAGATGGAGTAGATTGAAGCAGCTGTAATGCTGACCCTTCCATTCAGTGACTTCTCTTATTGGCTGATCCAGTCTCCATCTTTTTCCCCCCTTAGTCCCACTCTAAATAAATCATCCCATTCAAAACAATGTTGGTAAGGAACTTAGTTTACCACATTCTGTGTCTCTTCTTAAAAAGGCATGTGTGAGTGAGTCTTATTTACTCATTTATTGATATGCCAGGGGCTGTGCTCCGTACATAATTTCAGTAGAGCTGGTTTCTGCTCTTGAAGAGCTTTGACTCCTGTGAAGAAGCAGACAAGATGTTAGGGTTAAATTTATCTCATTCACCTTAATGTACTTAAATGCCCTCTGTTATATTTACATGAGTGAAATGACACATACAAAGATATTTCTTGCCGCTTTGTTTATAACAGCAAGAGATAAAAGCAGCCCAAATATTCATCCATAAGGCAATGATTAAATATATTATGCAATTGAATAATATATCGCTCTTAAAAATGAGATAGCTTTATGTATTCTGACCTGGAAAGATCTATATGGTATGTTAAATGGAAAAAAGCAGCAAAGTACAAGATAGTAAATGTAATGTGCTATATTGTTCATGGGGTAGAACACGTATGTAAGTCTCTGGGTATTACAGTTTTATTGTACATTGAATTTTATTTCTAGCATACAGTCGATTCAATATGTTAAGCATTTTGATAAATATAAAAGTTAAATGTTATTGAAAATACATCTCTTAATAAGATGGATGAGGCTGTTTTTTTAAAACCAATTTTTCTATGAATCCAGGGATGAATATTACTTAATGCTAGGATGAGTTGAGGTTCAACATCAATACTATTTTTGTTTTGGAGAAATAAGTGCTTCAAAACTGTGTTCAAGTAAGTTAGTAGGTAAGCATGGAAATTTTGTTATAGCAGTGTCACTCAATTCTTTGAACATTTTTTGAGTCATATGCCAAAATCACAGAATGCTTTAATGATTTATAGCTGAAACCTGAGTAGCTAACAGTGTAGAAACCAAATAATTGAAAAACCTCTGATTTTTGAGAGGACTTATTATCTGTTAGAGGAATCACTGTCCCTCTCTTTGTCAATACTAACGCAAACATTTTGATTTGCTCTTTTATTTGGTACTCCAGAGGTATCCCAAGGCAATGGATATAGGAGGTATGTCTTTATTTTTTTCAAAAGTAGAAAAAGAAAGACCGTGAATGGGGAAACGAGAGAACAAACCACTTCTATTCCATGCAAATTCTTATGCTGATCAGTTTTAGAACGCAGCACTTACAGAAGCTGAGGATCTAGAAATTAATTCCTGTAAATCTTAGCCTTGGCCATGTTCTCCTTAGGCATCCTGGAAGGAACCCCAGAGCTACCTGTACCCGAGTTTGAAAACCACTGCAGTAGCTGACAAGTTTACCTATGTAAGCCAGACAGATAAGGGGTGTGATTTCCCATCTTTACTCTCTTGTACAATTCCATCATTGAAGCTTCTTTTCTGCACGGTCCCATTCTGTAAAGCCTACATGTATGAAAAGATCTTACCTTAGCCCGGATGGATCCCAGTCATCTTTACTTGGCTATTTTTCTCCACTCTGACAGATCTTCAGTAAATGGTGTGCAGACTTTTTAGGGTTTCTGTAATTTGACTTCTAATTTCTTTACATTGTTTACATGGTTCAGTAATATTAACTACAGATTTGTTTGTTCTTTTCTAGTTTTGTATCCAGAGATTTATCAATTTTGTGGTTAAACTAGGTAAGTGCCACATCTGTTTTCTGCTTTGCCTGCTGCTGGAGACTGTAAGGAAAATAGAATACGATCACTTCTCTGAGGGTTCAACAAGCACAGCTTTTAATGATCTGTTGCAAGCAGAGTTCTGTTTCCCTTATTAACCCTCAGGGCCAACCATATAAAACTGTGAAGTAAACCTAGTTGGAAGATCTTGGCAGCCTTTTCCATTTTAGCACATACCTACCCCATTTTCCATTTTTTTCCCCTAAACCGTCTGCACTCCCTCCCTTTACTTGCCTCTGCTCATTAAAATGCTACTACTGCATTGTGGCTGATTTCAGCCTAAGTGCTAGGAGGAAGGCAGTCTAAATACAGATCTTACTAAATTGTGAATGACTGACAGCTCTCCCAAGAGTATTTACAATTTAAACAGAGTTTATTAACACATGTAAGCTTAAATGGATGGAGGTTTGGATAATATGACAAAGTAAAATTGAGGAGCAGTAGTGGGGAGAAATACAGTGAATCGGAGCAGAGGAACCTCTCCAGAGTGTCTTAAATCTTATTCTATAACAAATGACAAATGCCACCATCCGCTCCTTTTCTGCAAGAGATTGGCCCTTGGGCCAACTGAACCCGCATTAATGCAGGAAGGCTTTAAGTTCATTTTTGGCAAACCTCCTTGCTCTCTGTCAGAGCCCTTCTGCGTAATCCTGGCAACTCTTCCCTCTCCCTCAAGTACCTCCTATGTGCTTTGCCCCTCATTCTTGCAGGGTTCATCAGCCCACTCTTAGTCCGTCCAGGATATTTCCATTTGTGTTTCCACTTTCATGATTTTTGCACATTTGTGTGCCACCAGTGCTATGAACTACCTATTACCGTTCCCTTTTTCTAAGCATGTTTTCACAAAATTGTGGGTTTGGTGTGATAATCATATGTTCCTAAAGTACATTAAAATAGGTATTGAACTACTAAAATGTTAGATGAACTAAAAGATTGCCTGTGTGCAGTAGTCCCCCTTATCTCACGGGGGTATGTTCTAAGAAGACCAGTAGATGCCTGAAAATTGCAGATGGTACAAAACCCTATATATACACTATATTTTTTTTCCTGTACATACATACCTATGGTAAAGTTTAATTTATAAATTAGGCACAGTAAGAGAGAAACTAATAAAATAGAACAATTATAACAATATACTACAATAAAAGTTATATGACTGTGGTCAGTCTCTCTTGTCTCTCTCTCAAAATATCTTATTATTTTTGGGTTGCGGTTGACCAGATAACTGAAGCCATGGAAAGTGGAACTGCAGACAAGGGAGGCCTACTGTATATTCAGTCATGCTAATATTTCCTTCCCAATGCTCAGTGTTTACCTTACCTAAGCTAACCTAGCAAAAGAAAGTTAGTTCTTATATCTTGAATCTGAAAGCAATAGCCAGCAAAGAAAACAAATTACAGACATTTTAGAAGATAGGGATTGGAGATTATGATTGATAATTATTAGTTAAGCTTTTTACATAATAACAGTGTACCTGATCTTCTATCTGCTTCTTCAATCTGAAGGCTTTGTCTTCCTTTAGTTCTGAAAAAATTCTATACTGTCATCTGTATTGAGTGTTTTGACTGCATTTACTCAAATCTCTCCTTCTGAAAGCCTATTAGATGTATTTTGGATTTTCTCAATCTGCATCGCAATTTAAAAAAATATTTAACATCTTTCTATGCTATTATTTCCTTAGATCTACCTTGAAAATCACTAATCCTTTCTTTAGCTATGCTTTTAGTGTTTGATTTCCCTAAATATATATATATATCTTTTTTTTTTCAGTAATTCTTGTTGATTGTTTTGTACTCTAGCATTCTTCTCTTAGCCTATGGCTTCTATTCCTCCTTTTATCTCTGAGAAGTCTCTTTCAGAGTAATCTGTCATCTACTCTCAGGATGCGAGTTTTGTCATTTTGGAACTTGCTAGTTCTCATGCTGCTGCTTTTCCTCATGGGCTTTGTAATTTTTAGTTTTGAGCTCATCTTCAGAGACTGTTGTTTTCCGCATAACCCATTGAACATTAGGTTGTAAGGTGCCCTATCAAGTGAGTTTACATTTCCCTCTGCTAGGACACTGTAGTTCCACCAGTTCTAACCAGTTTTAGGGTTAATTTCTTAGTAACTTAGTACCTATACTAAGTTTGTAATGCATATTGGGATCTAGCATTCACCTTTGGCTCAGGCTCGAGATTTCTTTCATGAGATCTGTTTCCGTCTACAACCCTGGTAGGAATCAGGTTTTCTTCTCTATATCCAGACCAGTGGGCTGGGTTTTTTTCTATTGCTTTTCATAGAAGGCTGACTACCAGTTTTACACAGGGAGTTTAATTCCAGCTTCTCACCATGCACAGATCCAAGACTTCATTTTCCATTCCCATGCCAGCTGTGTAACACCAGCATGAAAACAGCAGCACTGAGTCACAAGCCACCTTAAGTACTGTGTTTCTCAGGGACTTCCTACATAAACTAAACTAAATTTTGTCCTGGCAATAAAGTCCTACCTCCTTTGATCAACAATAGTGTATTCCTGAATCAGATTATCCTCAAGGGCTGTTTGGCATCAGCTTCTCCTCATCTTTCTGACCTCTTAATTCCTGACACCTTTGGCTTCTCCTTCTTGGGTTTAAGATTCACCTTGAGTCTTTGTTTTCTTTTACTGTGATCAACTTGTTAAAATTTCCCAGCATTTCTATGTGTTTGAAGCAGGAAGAGGGATTTCAAATGACTGCTTATCTTTCATATTGACTAGAAATGTTCTCATCTTTTGTTTTAATCTTATCCTGTTGTACTAGTTGCTATTAGCATATGGTCTCCTTCTTTGGGATGTTTGTGGAAGGACGAACAGTCAGTCATGTTTCCTCGTTTATTTTTCCCATCTAGGTTTTGGAGTGTCACAGACCAAAGCCATCATGACTCTGGTCTCTGGGATTCCAATGGGCCCACCCCGGCTTCCACTGCAGAAAGCCTCCAGGGAGTTTACTGATAGTGTTGAAGCTAAACTGAAGAGCCTGGATTTCCTTTCTTTCTCTGATCTAAAGGATGGAAACTTGGAAGCTGGTAGCTAGTGCCTCTCTATCAAATCAGGGTGTGTACCTTGAGACATAATCTACCTTAAATAGTGCATTCTTTTCTCAGGGAATTTTAGATGAACTTAAATAAACTCTCCTAGCAAATGAAATCTCACATCAATCAAAAAGCATTTGGGTACCCAATATGAGCATTAAAAAGCTGTGGTGTTTTTTTTTTTTTTTTTTTGAAAGGGCAAAAACTCTCAGAATCACAACTGTCAGCATTCATTTCACAAAATTTTTTGTGGAAAAATTTCTGTTTATATGGATGAAATGGAATCAAAATTGTAATTGATTAATTCCATCTGTCTTTAGGAACTCTCATCATCTCAATTTCTGGTTCCTAATCCTATTTTAAAGTTGTCTAATTTTAAACCAGTATAATATGTCTTCATTTGAATACTCATTTGCAATCTAGGAAAACACTGAGCTACTGCATTTAGGCAGGCACTTTAATACCAAACTATAACATGTCTCAGCTATATACAACTACAAATACACTAGCTCATTTGGCTGCTCTGTTTAACTCTAGAATGGATGCTTCTGAATTCATTTCGAAGTCACCACTTTCCCCTTTTGAAAAACACTGGGTCAGGTGAGGACTTGTTTCAATTCCTTTAACTAAGGAAAGGGTAGCTTTCTTGTAACAAAGGAAGAGGTCTTCCCCAAAGATGAATTTAAGTCTCCACTTTTTGTTATGCAGAAAACTCAAAACTCAAAGTTTCAGCAAACCAAAGGGCTCTTCCTCTAGGGGACCACAGATTTCCCCTTCCTCCACTGAGAAGACTGTCTCTCCCACAGGACCCTGAATCATTGAAATCAAAAGCCAATTTCCTTTCTGCAGTAAGCCCAGGGGCTACTGTTATTACCCTGTCACACTTTCAAGCAGTTACTTTTCTTTAGTGATAGAAGATTTGGGGAGGACCCAAAGGACTCAGCTTTCTCTCCACACCTCCTTTTTTACTCTTTTCTTTCTGTGTAATATATCAACACCTGTTTAATCTCCCTTCTAACAAACTTTGGTGTAAGCTTTCTGATACCAAAGTGTATTAACAGTTAATCCTTATTGATTTTAAACTTGACTATCCAGTCTGCTAATTACCTACGATTTTGTTTTCATTTCATCTCTAATTGTTTTGATCATTGGCAGAGAAAGAGTATTTGAAATTCATATCCATTTTGCTCCTTATTTTAATCTCTTTGAATTAAAAACTTTTTCAAAAAGCAAATTTGAAATTGTAAGTGGACTTCAATTATCTTTGCTAATCCTCTCTTTAATTAAAAGTTGTTGTATTTATATATCCTTGACCCTCTTTTTTACCTTTGTAGCTGTTAAGAAGAAGAAAATGAGTTTCTTGTTAGTTTTTGGTTCTGAGGATGTGATACCCTTACTTAATGATACTAAAGCCAAATTAATTTTTTAAATTCTTGGGTATCCAATAAACAAAGAACTATCTTTCTACTTTTGTTTTTGTGAAGCCAATGCTTGGAGGATTTTTAAGATGATTAATGAGCTTTTGTGAACATAAAGAGAAATATGCTTTTAAAATGACCAGGTCTGAGTTTAGCTCTGTTGATATCTAGTAGCTTAGAAATGAATATTATATAGCAGTAGGCTATTAATAGTGCATTTAACAAGTAAAACTTTGGAATACTATGAACTTATTGTTTTGTTATAATCTATTCTTAAATTGTTTTTAACATTAAAACTAAAGTAATGGCATGTGAAATATTTCATTCAACACAGTACTAAAAGCTGATTTCAACCTCTTTGTTTCAAGATAGAAATCTGAGATCAGTCCATTGGGATGGTTGGAGGGACAGGAGTGATTTTAGGAATTGGTTTTACTTAGGATCTCTCACGGGTTTATTCAAAGATACAGGAAAATGCCATGGGGATGAGGTGGAATTGGGGTTGGGTAGCAGTGGGAGCGATATATATTCTTTCCTAGAAAGGCTATTTGCCACAGCTTGAGAGAAATTTCTTCTTTGTGATCACCTAAAGGGCATGGAAAATCCAAACTCTTAGGAGGCTAAAATCTAAGAGAAGTCTGGGTTGAAGGACTTCGCAGAGTGACTGCAACCCAGGCTTAGGTACCCACCTGAGCTCACTAAGGCTTTTCATACAGGGGAAATCTGCAAACCCATCAAATCAAATGGAGGAAACAACACATCCAAACCATTTAAGCACTCCGTTATCACGCTGACTCAACCCTCAATTTCCTCCAGTGAGAGTAAGAGGGAAACCTGGAACCAAAATTATGTAAATAGCAGAGGTAAGTCCCAGGTAGAGGCAGAGCACTACCTCACACTTTGGGTTTCTGGGACTGATAAATGGCTACCTGGGTGAACAAAATAACTGACCCAAATCGTGGTTTCTCCGTGAACCCCTTGGTGACTCTTAGGAAATTATTTGATACATAAAACATTTTAGCATTTTAAGTTATACAACCAGAAGAAAAACCTTAAAGCATTTTCTTAAGTCTTAATTACACAATAAATATAATGGAATGGATTCAACAAAATACATAAAGAACTATATCCAGCAGGATGCGTTACCTGTATCTGTAGACTAGTTACAGAGAGCATTCAAGTTCTATTCCAGAGGGACCACCTAAGGAGATTGTACCGCAATCACATATTCACCTCCAATATATTTTCCACACAGCAGCTAGAATGCCCTTCATGAAAATCAGGGTCCCATGTTTGAGCCAGATATGGGGTTAGGCCCTGTAGGCACAGAAACTGCTGCAAATGCCAGCCTTTGGTGTGCGAGGCAAACCTTCTCTTCCATCAGCAAGCACACATAACAAAGTTATCTTTGAGGTCATGGGGAAGTGGGTTTTCACAAGCGGGCAAGTGCATCAGCATCTCAGTGTAGTCTACAATCCAAGTCCAGTTTGCACCATTTTATGGTTATGCTACCTCAGGCGGAAGGAGATGGAATAATGACCACATACATTCTTGAGAATCCTCACACTAGGGTGAAACAAAGTGATCCACTCTTAGAGCTTGAACAAGTGGGCATATTTAAAGCATCTGTAAGTGAGAGTGGCAAATAATGTTCCCAGGCTATATTAGTTCATTCTCATGCTGCTAATAAAGACATACCTGAGACTGGGCAATTTATAAAGGAAAGAAGTTTACAGTTCTGCATGACTGGGGAGGCCTTGGGAAACTTACAATCATAGCAGAGGGGGAAGCAATCACGTCCTTCATATGGCGGCAGCAAGGAGAAGTGCTGAGCAAAAGCGAGGAAAGCCCCTTACAAAACCATCAGATCTTGTGAGAACTCACTATCACGAAAACAGCAACATGGAAGTAACCACCCTCATGATTAAATTATCTCCCATCACATCCCTCTCATGCACACGGGGATTATGGAAACTGTAAGATGAGATTTGGGTGGGGACACAGCCAAACCATGTCACAGGCCTAGATGCTTTTCAGGCTGCGGTTACTATCTGAACTCCCCTGAACATTGACCAATTAGTCTTGTCCTTTTCCTAAGGTAATAACCTCAATCAGGTTTGACTTTCCAATTTAAGCAGACCTCTAGAATCATTCAATTAAAACACTAAGTATATTCTGCCTTTTGCTCTTTCACTTGACTATATACCTATCTGTATGTACCTATCTGTATATCTTTCAAGATCCTTCAGTATGGCCAGAGGCAAGTGCTGGAGGATGGAGGTGCAGAAGAGGGACCAATTTCCACAAAATAGTAAGAGAAGACTTCTCTGGGTCCCTTAGACTTAGTCTGAAATCAGAATGTTGGAAAGAAACCAGTCAGGTGAAGAATAGCAGAGGGTGCATTCAAGGTGGTAGGACCCACAGATTTGACAGTCTGGAGCCATGGAAGAGTCAGGAGTGTGAAGAACTGAACAGAAGCCAATGAATCAGAGTTCAGGCATCAAGGAGAAAGAGTAGGAAATGATGAATTTAAAGGGACTGCAAAGGAGCCAGCTCCTGTAAGATGTTGTAAGTCATAGGAACATTAAACTCACAGTGTTTTTCTGTGCTGCAACTTTAAGTGCTATAAATTTAGAGTGTAAAATAACTATAGGCCCTCCAAAGACTGAAAAGTTAGTACAGAAGCAAGAAAGTTTACAATAAGCCTTCATTACATTATAGTTTGTAAATGTATTTATTATTTCAAATTGTTTACATAACCTTGTCTGTGGAAAAATTGATATGCTTTTGGCTGAAAGGATTTAGTTTTCTTGGGTTTACACAGAATGCATCATGATTTTCTAGTTAAAATATTTTTTCATTTAGTGGCTTTTCACTTAGCGGTAGGGTTTTTAGGAGTGAATTAAACATAATAACAAGGAATAGCTGTATTTCTATTTAGTAGCAGATAATTCTAGTACCTAAACCATTTATAGATATAATTCTGCTATCTGTTTTCTTTTTTTGCTGGCACTCAACTCATTGGACTTTGTATTTTAAAAACAGAGACAAGGTCTCACTGTATTGGCCAGGCTGGTTTTGAACTCCTGGCTTCAAGTAATCCCCACACCTCAGCCTCCCAAAGTGTTGGGATCACCCACATGAGACACCATACTGTGCTACTCATCAGAGGTACTTAAGATCCTCACCTGTTTTATGATTTTTTAAACTTGAGCTTATGTTCAGTGGAATTTTATAGGAATTATTTGAGGTCTGGATAGAACATTCCACCAAAGAAAATATAATTTTAAGCCTTCTAAGGGATTTATCTCTGCTGACTAGTAACCATTTTAAATAATTGGCTTGAGGTTTTCATGGATATCACAGGAAGTGAGTCTTTATTTCTACCTAGCATCTAGTTTTTCATAGACAGGTTTCCTTATTATAACCGTCTTCTGATTGGTTTGGTTTTTCATTGCTGCTATTGTTGTTCACTTGTCACTGAAGATATAAGGCATTCTGGATTATGTGTAGGTCTGCTCTCAGCCTCTGCATGTTGGGTAGTCTCTCTTGTCTCCTTTCCCCTAAGCCCCAATGCAGCTTTTATTAAAAGGAAGCTCAAGTTAATTAAGAATCAGCAGACCCGGCCAGGCGCGGTGGCTCAAGCCTGTAATCCCAGCACTTTGGGAGGCCGAGGCGGGCGGATCACGAGGTCAAGAGATCGAGACCATCCTGGTCAACATGGTGAAACCCCGTCTCTACTAAAAATACAAAAACATTAGCTGGGCATGGTGGCGCGTGCCTGTAATCCCAGCTACT